CCATTTGCAGCCTTTTTCAGTCGCCTCACAGTGTCGGCAAAACACGCCACAAATTCCGCATTATCGAATCTTGATCTGGGCTTTGCGCGGTAGGGTACAGTGTCTGCATCCAAATCATATTGCAGCTCTTCCCTTTGAACTAAAGAATTGAAGAGGTCTTGGTAGGTTAGATTAGGGTTCGGCCGATCGGGCAAGTTTGGGACAGCGTCTCCATAAAAGAACTCCGCAAAATAACTTGGCCACGTTGAAGGCTCAAAGCAAGAAAGCGCAGACTGGCGAGGAAGCCTCACTGCAGTGTGGTGCGCGTCTGCAATAGAACTTTCCAAGAGCGAAGGCTTGCTACGCAACAATTGCCTGAGCGTTTCCTGCAAGTCCACGATGACACGTCGGCGTCTCTCTTCACTGGCAACTGCTTCCACATCCGGACCACCATCACTATGATCCAAAGCCTTCACTAGTCGCTGAGCTTCCCGCTGCAAGATTTTCATCTTTGTTTGCGTTGCTTCGAACAGCTGCGCAGGCTTTGCGTCCTGCAGGTAATCCAAACCAATCATCTCTTGAGGAGCGTTGGACCAAGATGGTTCGGAAGCGTCAGGCTGCGCCTCTGAAGCCGACTCCTCGCTCGCGTCATCTGGCAACCTCGCATCTGCGCTCGTGTAAACTGCTCTGGAGGCCGGGCCTTGCATCGTTGAAGACATGCTCTGGGCTTCAGGCAAAGAGATAGCCGACTGTAGTAACGCTTCGGGCACTCCGTCGTCTGGCAACTGCAAGCAATCGTCATCTACAGTAACGTCAGCAAACGCTTCACAAACTTGTTTTCGATAATGAATGCATTGCAGGTATTCAAGCCGAGACACACGTAGCGCCCTGCATGCTTTCACTTCCACTGTAGAATTGCAGCACACGACGGACAAGGAGTCCAGCAAGTTTGTCAATGAAGGCAAAACTTGCTCAGGCTTCATCTGTGGTTGGGAAATCAGAATTGTGTTCCCCTGCAAACCTTTTTCAACTTCTGCAGCCTCGCCTTTCCCAAGAAACAATTGTTTCAGGCATAGACGCCCCTTCCCCAGCAACCTCTTAGTCGCCAATGACAAATTTTGGAAGTTAGGGTGCTCACGTCCCAAGAAGTTCAAGTTTGACAAAGCTAGCGGTGGCATCGTTACTCTTTGCGCGCTGCACAAGCACGAAGCGCATTCCCAGCACAGCCAGGATGTCGCGTGTTTCTGGCCCACTCCTGCACATCGTGGGCGCGAGTCTAAATCTGGCTCACTCAGCTTACTTTTGCCATGCGCTGCTACCCGTCTACTGTGTACAAGCCATCTCTTTGAAGCATCATCAGGGTGCTGCACAGAGCTTCCATGCAGCTCTTGTGGCGGGATTTTTGGCCTCAGGTCAATGTACCGCTCAACTTTCAAGATTTTGTGGACGTCTTCAACAGGCCCAAAACAAAGCTTGCCGTTCTTCGTAAACAAGGCGCCTGGTGATGCTGGCTGGCGCATCTCGACGTCTGACGCAGTATCAGATTCATTGTCTACTTCGGAGGAAGAATGAAACAAACGCTGCAAAGTGGCAGTGCCGCTGGGCTGCTCAAACAAGTATGCCTCATATCTGTTTTCAATGTAATCAAGTCTGGCGCAAATAACGCAAGCTTCCTCCCGACGTGGAACAGCGTCTGAAAATGTTCTTTGTGTGAATTCGTTTGGGCTTCCCGGCACAGAATGCACTTGGAACAAACTAAACGATGCAACCATGGCCCTTTTCTGCCATGCCTGCATTGCCTTCAAAGGCTCTTCCTGAATCCGAAAAGACACCTGCTTTCTGTACTCGGCCCATCCTCCGTGCAAGGATGAATGCTTCTTCAGCGAATCCATGCCCAAAAATCCGCGATGGCAAAGCTGGCATAACACAGGCGGCATTGCAAACGCGCGCGACTGCAGCTTGCAATCTTCCGGGCCAGAATTGGCACAGATCAAGTTCTCTGAGCTCCATGTGTCTGGAATATCGCAATGAGTGGCCAACTTGGATTTCCACAACTCGACATTCACTGGAACAAACGTTTCAGGCGGGAACAGTGTTGTTGTCCATGCCGACGCGTGTTTACTTGAAGCAGGTTTGCGTAAGAAATGCTGCAGAACGCACAAAGTGGCCGCAGAAAATTCATCGTACCCTTGAAGGTCAACACCTTGCTCAGCAAAACACTTCATAGCTGTGGCGACCATACACTCCACTGCAGAAGCACGCCCTGCTGGGTCTACTAAATGCAGCTGCAAAAATCGAAGGTTCGCACTCGCGTTGCTGTCTATAGCCAGGTATGCTTGCAGCACTTCGCAAACAGCACGGATCAAGTCACAAGGTCGGCTGGCTGCGCTTTCAGACCGCTGCTTCCGGCGATCTGCCACAAGAGCTTGCAATTCTGAGAACTCACAGTAGCACAGGCCGCTCAGCTCCACTAAGGCCAGCTGCCGAACAAAACTTGAGGGCCTCGGCGTCACAGCATCTGACCGCGGAGACTACACAGGGACTCACAATCTGGCATCTGACCGCGGAGACTGGGAGAGGGAGACAAGCGGGAGACACGACCCCGGAGCGCATCTGGATAAACGACCCTGGAGCCAGCGTCACAGCATCTAGCGTCTGACCGCAGAGACTGGGAGACACATGGAGACAAGCGGGAGACAACCAGCGTCACAGCATCTAGCATCTGACCGCAGAGACTGGGAAAGACAGGGAGACAAGCGGGAGACAAGCCCGGAGCCATCTGGCATCTGACCGCGGAGACTGGGAGACACAGGGAGACAAGCGGGAGACACAACCACAGAGCCGGCGTCACAGCATCTGGCATCGAACCGCAGAGACTGGGAGACACAGGGAGACAAGCGGGAGACAAGCCCGGAGCCGGCGTCACAGCATCTGGCATCTGACCGCGGAGACTGGGAGACACAGGGAGACAAGCGGGAGACACAACCACAGAGCCGGCGTCACAGCATCTGGCATTGAACCGCAGAGACTGGGAGACACAGGGAGACAAGCGGGAGAATCTGGTATCTGACCGGAGACTGGGAGACAGGAAGACAAGACTGGGAGACACAGGGAGACAAGCGGGAGACACAACCACAGAGCCGGCGTCGCAGCATCTGGCATCGAGCCGCAGAGACTGGGAGACAGAGGGAGACAAGCGGGAGAATCTGGTATCTGACCAGAGAGACGAGACTGGGAGACAGGAAGACAAGCGGAAAACAGGACCCCGGAACCGGCGTCACACTTTTCCATTCTACTTTACAGCCTCCGGCTGAGTCCGCCGACATTGTCCTCTCCCTTTTTTCCTTCTGCCTCTCTCCCTTGTCTCCCTTGTGTGTTCTGTCGTCCTCTCTCCCTCCCTCTGCTCCCCATCCTCCCCATCCCCCCAAGCCTCTCTATGCCCAATCTCCCTCTCTGGTATGTATGTATATATATATATATATATATGTGTGTGTGTGTCTGTCTGTCTGTCTGTCTGTCTGTCTGTATGTATGTATGTATGTATGTATGTATGTATGTATGTATGTATGTATGTATGTATGTAATGTATGTATGTATGTATGTATGTATGTATGTATGTATGTATGTATGTATATAATGTATGTATGTATGTATGTATGTATGTATGTATGTATGTATGTATGTATGTATGTAATGTATGTAATGTATGTATGTATGTATGTATGTATGTATGTATGTATGTAATGTATGTATGTATGTATGTATGTATGTATGTATGTATGTATGTATGTATGTATGTATGTATGTATGTATGTAATGTATGTATGTAATGTATGTATGTATGTATGTATGTAATATGTATGTATGTATGTATGTATGTAATGTATGTATGTATGTATGTATGTATGTATGTAATGTATGTATGTATGTATGTATGTATGTATGTATGTATGTATGTATGTATGTATGTATGTATGTATGTATGTATGTAATGTAATGTAATGTATGAAATGAATGCAATGGATGAATGTATGAAAGACGTCCAAAAACATGGAGTTTTTCCAGATTTTCGGCAAAAGGATGTAGGAAGCCCAAGCCAGCAAAAAAGCCGGCAGGGGGAATCGAGCCTGGGACCCCTGTTTTGCGACACTGGCTCCCCGAAGACTACGTTTAGTGGAACGTCATCAAATTGCCGCGCGGTACGCGGGGGAGGGGGGGGGGGGGCGACCGAAAAACCATGCGTATTTGACGTGTCCCGGGGGGGGACTAAGAGGGGGGTTATCCTCTATCCTCTCTTAGGTATCCAATAGTCCTCTCTTAGGTATCCGACACGCCGAGCAATGTCGGCGGATACCTCAAGTTAGAACCCCAATGCTTCGCTGTTTGGGGAAAAAGCCCCAAGGTTTAAAAAACGAAAACTCTCCAAGGTTAAGAAAAAGCCTTACCCACCCACTTTGGGGCTCAACATGTACGTGCCTGGCGACATCAACCGTGAACGAGCTTAGCCACCACCAAGGCAACTATTCGTTGTTTCAGGTTGGTGAGATTTAGTTGGCGCAGAATGCCTGGTACATCAATGCAACAGACGGATGCTTGACACTGTCGACGTGAGACTGAAAGTTACACCGTATTTGTTGGACATTTGAATTACTCGTTTTTATTACTCGTCAAAGCTCAACACAATGAATTGTGAATTTCCGAAAGCCATCAATAAAAAGCAACGTGGTACAGGAAACAGAGCAAGACATGTTTTGCATTGCACATTCTCAGGAGCAGAGGTATTGTTGGTTTTGTTCCAGTCTCTGGGGAGCTGGAAGGTTTGCAGTGGGATCCCTACCCAAAGCGCTCTACCCCACACTGGACATGTTTCCTAGGGGTTGCTGTGGGTGAGGGCAAACATCGCTTGGCATTCTGTTGCATCCCCTATGTGCCCCGCGTTTATTGGCAAGTGCATTGCAGGTTCCAAGTTGAGCCATGCTGGTTGGTTGGCCTTGGCTGGGGCTTGGTTATGAACCTCCCAGGATCTATGTACAGAACTTCAACTACCACTTGAACACCCTACCGGAGAACATGCAGGTGGGAAGCATCAGGACTTGGGACTGTTGGCGAGTTCACTGACAAGAGAGTGGCGTTCCTTTTCTCTTCAGGAGAATAACCAACTTTGAACCTTTTAATGCTAGTTGGACAATGAAGAGCGTTTCCCCACCAGCAAAAGTGTGTCCCCTTTTCATTGCCTGTGTACGTGTATATATATATACATATACATACATAGATATACACATTAGTGGCACCCCCCGGAGCACCACCCTCAAAGCCTCAAAAGATACACTGATTGATGTTCGGAGTGTGGACACATGCAGTTGTTTTAGCCCTAAAGCGTTTGAACCATGCACAGTATGTGCTTTTTCGGGGGACGGATCTTGGACAATTTGTTGAGCCATGTTTTACAGGTGTCAAAGCTTTAATGCACTTTAAAATGTTTGGGAACCTGGCATCCAAGATTTCACGGCAAGTCTTCCTGTTCAATTTTGGTGTTTGGTTCTTGCCCCTAAGGAGCCTTATAGCTCTTGAAAGTTTCTGATTCTTTCCATCCATGAGCTGGGAATTGGACCCAAACTGCTCACCCATGAGCTGCAAGTGTCAAATGTTGCACGGCGCGACTGAGCTAATGTTTCATGATTTAAAGTTGTAGGGCACCACTGAGTGTGTTCCTTTTTTTTGGAACTATTGGTGTATTTGTTACCTGCCATGTCACATTTACTGCTTGAGCTACCTTTTTCATTCGGCTCAAGTCAAAACGATGCGCACTGCATTGTCACTGCATTGCATGGCATTAGCGCATCTAGTCCCTGTGACCCGAAAGCCTTTGTTGACTCTAAAGACACAAGCCCTTGCACAGAGTCTAGTAGGCCTGTCATTTCAGCATTTCGATTACAGTACTTGGCAGTGCTGCAGCGTTGCCATTGCAAGTTTGCAATGTTTATGACCCTCCACTCCTCTTCTGATAAGACCCCTCAAGGGTTCCAGTGTGCTTGTCAGTTTCCTGGTAAATTTGCATCGCCGCATGTCTTATGCTTGGCAATCCTGGAGAAATTATCCATGAAGAGCTTTGCACAGGGCTCCTTGTGGGTAGCAAAACCGGCACTTAAGATGATTGAGGGGGAAGCACGTGTAGAATACGTATTGTAGGTGTATGTGTATATATATACATATATATATAGCTGACTTGGTACCTTCAGTTTCAATGGAGCCTAATTTTTGGGCACAGAACCCTGAAAGGCGCGCATGTATGGGGCCAATCAATTTCGTCACAGGACATAGTTGTCAACAGTTGGTTTATTTTTTCACTGAAACACAAGCTCTTCCCTTCTCTCCAACAAACAACAAGGGCCAAGCAAGGATCACTCCGCAGCAAAGCACACACGTAGTTTCTTTTCGATTTTTCTTCGCCATGTACTGCCCACCAACCTCAACAACATGCAGACAACCGACCGCTACGCAGGGACACCGACAAATGCAAGAGGATCAACGTTCGTTCTGGTCGGAGCCTTTTCGGGCCCGAGAAAGCATAAGCCACGGGGGTCGATGAACAGGATCCCGGTCGCGGATTCTTACGTTACAGGGACCTGCCATCCGCAGAGCTGTTGACCAATGACCAAAAAGCACCGCAAAATGGGTCTGTGTCAAAATGGGGGCCCTCAAATATTTGTTGCTTTAACAACCCCAAAAGAGTACCCTGAAAGAAAGACACACCGCAAAGTGGGACAAGGACAAGCACAGTTGCACAGGACCAGCCCGGCTATTCCCGAGTGGAAAATGAATGCCGGGGAAGAACACGTCAACGAAAAGGGATCGCCGGCCCAGCAAAAGCCATAGATGAATCTCTTTTTGAGTCACCAGGTGGCGCGCATGCAGGAGGGCCTCAAGACCTCCAGCGAGGAGCGGCAGCTGAGGCTCACGCAGGACCGTCCCGTGGTTTTCGACCTGCTGCTCAAGGTGCCTGAGCTCGGAGGTCCCCAGAAAGCTGTAAAAATACCCGCTCTTTTTAGTTAGTATATTTGCGAAATCTAGTTGCACGTCATAAATACCTCCTGTTTTTTGTCAGGTCTTGACATCATACCTGAAACAGTGGGTGGGGTTGTTTTCCTTTTTGTTTTTTCTGAGCGGGCCATACCTCAAGGCAAACCCCGAAGAATGGGATTCCAGGATGAATGCTCCTCCACTTTGGGCAATCGATCATCTTGTGTTTGTTGTTTTTTCTTGGCGTGGAGCATAGTGACATCTCGGATTAATCAATCTGGTGGGTGAATAGGATGGTGGGTCCTTCAAAACATACCGGGTTGCTGAAAACCCGAAATGATGCGATCCCAGGATGTATGTTAGTTTCTGTCCACAGCCTCAGGTAATTAGGCCCAAAGTAAGAGACTTTGCTTCGTTGAGATCTCAAGTACAGAAGGTTTTGGGTTTCAAAGGTATACTGCAGATTAGGTAAATGAGGTGTTTTATGTAGGATTCAGCGAATGTGGAATTTGGGATCAGGGGCCACAAGGCTTAGGTTGAATACTGGTAAGAGCTTCCAGGTTTTGTATTTGAGGTTGCCAATGGAGTTTTCAGGAACATACCCCAGGTTTGCTTCGAGCCTCAAAACAACCACTGTTGAACATTGCGGAACGGTCTCCCTTTGGTTTTGTTTCTCGGGGGCCGATCTTCCACCCTACCAGAGATTTTGATCAACTCCTGGGATAAACCCGAAATAAGAACTATGCAGATTTTAGGTTGGAAGTGGGTTTTTTTGGGTCAGCCAGCGGTTCCCCATTTTTGGAACTGACTTAAAAATTGTGACTCACACGAGGACACGAGGATTGATAGGAATGATCTTCCAGGTAGTCTCCGACAGCAAGGAAGGGCACGGGCCAAGCAGCAACAGGTGGTTGAATGAGTAGTCGAGGGCCACGCCTAGCAATAAATTGCTTTCATACATACACCCCCCCCTACATGTTTTTTCATTTTCCATCTTCTACCCTTATTCGTTTTCATCATTTTTCTACATTCCTTTCTGTCCATATCATCCGTTTTTTTATCATCATTTTTCCAACATTTTCGCCATCCTTTTCTCCTTCCTCCTCGCCTCATTCATTTCACCAACTACCCTTCAAAATGTCATTTCCTCAATCTCCTCACCTCATCCATTTCAAAAAAATAGATTTTGCAAAATATATTGCAAAAAATATGTGTCATCAAAAAAATATTCGAACTGTCTAAAAACGATTTGTCCATTTCTCGGACAACAAATAGAACAGCAACAACATCACTCTCCTCCTTCGTTTCATCACTTTTATCATATATTTTTTTAGGCGTGGTCGCATAGCTTGCGAGCTTCGCTAACGCTCGCGTGTCCCTTGTAGGATTTTATCTTCAATATTTAAAACGCTATACTTACATTATAATTATAACATATAAGGGTATAAATGTTATTATTATAGTATGATTAAGAATTATGGGTTACATTTATAGTCAGGAAAAATGTCTTCAAATATGTAATCTACATATTTATCAATATCACCAATGTCTATATATTTGATATTGTCTTTTCCTATTATTGAATAAATATATTCCCAGAAAAACAAATTAACTAGTAGCCATACTTGATATTTAGTGTTGTAGTAAGACCATACATGATATTTAGTTATTCTAAATTCATTCAAGACCTCGTTTATTTTATCTTTACTTAATAAATGCCAATCAATCGCTTCAAACATGTCTCGATTTTTTTTAACGAATGCTTTATATGGTTTAATTGCGTTTGCCCCTCCAAACCTCTTAATTAAATCTTTATTATTAAAGAACTCATCAATTTCTTTTTCAAATGACTTTCTAGCAATTTTTTGGTAAAAACATACGGGAAATCGTTTTTGATATCTCATAAAGAATTTCAATTGTAATTGAAACTTTGTATATCCCTTATCCTTATGTTCTTCAACAAAAAACTTTTCAAGGTCTCTTGTTATACAGCATTGATTACAATATACATCATATTTAATGGCCTTCGGCCTGGTTCCGCCGCCCCCACACACCTTAGAATTTCGGCCCGGGACGAGAGAAAGCACGCGATATGTAGACAGACACAGACAGACACAAAGACACGCAGACAGACACGCAGCGGGGGGGGAGGGTCTTCGCGGACACGAAGACAGACGCAGATGCGCAGGCAGACGCAGACAGAGCCAGACAGACACAAATACACAGACAGACACGCGGGGGGGGGGGGGACACGAAGAAAGACGCAGATACGTAGACAGACACAGACAGACACAGACAGACACAAAGAGACAGAGACAGACACGCAAGGGGTCTTCGCGGACACGAAGACAGACGCAGACAGACCCAGACAGACACAAAGAGACACAGACAGACACGCAGGGGCAGGGGGGGTCTTCGCGGACACGAAGACAGATGCAGATACGTAGACAGACATAGACAGACACAGGGGGGGCGGAGGGGTGGGGGAAGACTACCCGAAGCCTAGGGAAGAAGCACACGACACGCGCGTTGTTTGGTCCCGAAACAGTATCGGAAGACTAGGAGAAGAAGCCGGAAGATTACGGAAGACTACGGGAAGAAGCCGAAAGATGGCGGACATTTACGGGAAGAAGCTTGAAAGATTTCGGAAGACTACGGGAAGAAGCCGGAAGACTACGGAAGACTACGGAAGACTACGGAAGACTACGGGAAGAAGCCGGAAGACTACGGAAGACTACTGGAAGAAGCCGAAAGCTTACGGAAGATTACGGGAAGAAGGCGGAAGACCACGGAAGACTACGGGAAGAAGCCGGAAGACTACGGAAGACTACGGGAAGAAGCCGAAAGATTACGGAAGATTACTGGAAGAACCTGAAAGATTTCGGAAGACTACGCGGAAGACTACGGAAGACTACGGAAGACTACGGAAGACTACGGAAGACTACGGGAAGAAGCCGGAAGACTACGGAAGACTCCTGGAAGAAGCCGAAAGCTTACGGAAGATTACGGGAAGAAGGCGGAAGACCACGGAAGACTACGGGAAGAAGCCGGAAGACTACGGAAGACCACGGGAAGAAGCGGGGGGAGGGGGAGGATGGGGAGGGGGGGGACGGGGGGGGGGGGGGAGGGGGGGGGGGGGGGGAGGGGGGGGGGGGGGGAGGGGGGGGGGGGGAGGGGGGGGGGGGGAGGGGGGGGGGGGAGGGGGGGGGGGGGGGGGGGAGGGGGGGGGGGGGGAGGGAGGGGGGGGGGGGGGCGGGGGGGGGGGGGAGGGAGGGGGGGGGGGAGGGGGGGGTGGGGGGGGGGGGGTGGGGGGGGGGAGGAATGGGGGGGGGGGGGGGGGGGGGGGGAGGGGGGGGGGGGGGGGAGAGGGGGGGGGGAGGCCGGGGGGGGGGGGAGTGGGGGGGGAGGGGTGGGGGGGGGGGGAGTGGGGGGGGAATCCAGAATTCCAGAAATCCAGAGATCCAGAAATCCAGAGATCCAGAAATCCAGAGATCCAGAAATCCAGAAATCCAGAAATCCAGAAATCCAGCCGACGTAGAAACCAGCCCCAAGGGCCGCCCCAAGGGACATATAGGTTATATATATATATATATATATCTACATAATCATATTCACATTAAACTTATAGAAAGCATATCAACAAAAGCAACACAGAACACACCGCCCCCATGCCGAAAGCATGGTCCATTCTGGACCAGGCATGGGGTCGGCGGATTCACTTATTTTATTACACAGATTAGCAGGTAATAACTTATACAATGTTATATTAACATCATTCCTTTTAGTTGTACAACATTCGCACTTTGAATAATTAAATAACATTTCCACTGTAATATATATATATATATAGTGTTTATTTCTTTAAATACTTTTTTACAAGAAATAAAATTACATATTGAAATATAATTATAACATATAATATTTTACATGTTATTATTATATTATGATTATAATTTAAGTTCAGGATAATACTTTAATTGATATATCTTACCTCTTTCATACATCATTTAAAAAATAAGATTAATATCTCTCACTGTATTTTTAACATTAAACTGTTCACTTTCAATATATGATTTTATGACTTTTTTTACATCAACGCCGGGTTTACTATAATAAATCAACATCCATAATATGTCATTAATCATTTCATACTTTTTCTTACTGATTTTAAGAAACTGTTTAACATAATCGTAAGGTGGTCTTTCATACACAGTTAACAATATCAATATTTCGTCTTCAACATTTCTTTCATCTATATTTTTAAACGCCAAACAATTTCCTATTATATTTTGATATCGTCTCCATCTTCTACACGTTCTACATACATCTTCTTCATCCATTGAATAATCAATAATATTATTAACTATTCCATTAGGTAAATTCAATTTATATAATTCCATGTTTTCTTTTTTTAAGTGGCAACAATCATAGCATTTTTTATTGATATAATTATTGATTTTGGTTTCCACCATTTCTATTATAATATATATAGTTTTTATTTCTTTAAATACTTTTTTACAAGAAATAAATTTATACCTTTAATAACTCATGTCTCAAAAATGCCCTGTCATAATTTTCAATATAATAATATTCCTGTCCTAACTTCTGTTCAATCTTTGCTATTTTGTAGGTTTGTTTAGTCCATACTCCTACTCTCTCCTTTTCATTTGGTCTCCTTTTCCTGAATATCTTAACTTCATTTCCTACATTTAAATCTGGATAAACTCTATTTCTTTTGGCTTTCATACCTAAATTTAAACTCACTTCTAATTGGTGTTTAGGCTTTCTTGCTTCTGACGGTGTTAAGCCGTGCGAAGTGTGCTTTATTCCATTGTTATAAGTTAATATAATCTCGTGTATGTAGTCTGTCCATTGAATAGCCTTTCCTTTTTTCTCATCGTTTTCAACCCTCTTATACAAGCTATCTTTAAACGTCCTTATCGCCCTCTCCGCAAATGCTGGGTGTCCTCTGGTTC